GAGTCCTTCCCAAGGACCTGGGATAGGCAGATGTGGATGTTTGATGTTATTACAGATCTCATCGCAGGATGGAAGCAGTTCCTAGTAAGGCCGCCTTTTGCAATTGACTAATAGCGAATTTGTCAATGCCGATGATGGTGTTCAAGGGGTGCTCCAGTTGTTTGGGGATTGCACCTAAGGTGCCTGTTACTATTGGTACTACCCTTGCTTGCCTTTGCCACAGTCTTTCTGTTTCTATTTGTAGGTCTTTGTGTTTTGTTATCTTCTCCAGTTCTTTCTCGTCTATTCTGCCATCTCCAGGCACTGCCACGTCCACTACCCAGACTTTTTTGTCTTTCTTATCCACAATTGTTAAGTCCGGGGTGTTATGTTGCAGGTGCTTGTCTGTTTGAATTCTGAAGTCCCAGAACAGTTTAATTTTATCATTTTCTATGACTTTCTCTATTTTATGATCCCACCAGTTTTTGCTTGCAGGCAAATAATATTTCTTGCAGATCTTCCAATGCACCATTGTTGCTACTTTGTCATGCCGCTGCTTGTAGTCAGTCTGTGCGATCTTCTTGCATTATTATTATTATTATTATTATTATTATTATTAATAATAATAATAATAATAATAATAATAATTGTTATCTCTGAACATGGAGGCTGCACTGGGAGCCATGAAATGCGTTTAAGAACCCCTGCTGGATCTGATAGGGCTGTAGCTGCTAAGGTAGACTACCACTGCAGGTGGAGGCTTCAAGGACTAGTCCTACTCAGGCCAAACATGGGGAAGAAATCCATCCTGGGTGCCCCCTCCCCTCCTTACCTGCCACCACACCGCCTTGGCGTTCCACCAGCTGGATGGCGCCCTGCATGGTGCCCCCTGTCTCTACCCACTGATCCACCAGCAGGACCCGGACACCTGGAAAGGGGGGCAGAACCAAGATGGGTCTGGGGTCTTTTTCACCCAGCTGTCCCCCCTGCCCCCCCAGCCCTTAAGAGGGGTCCCGGCAAGTGGAGGTGGAGTTTTTCAGCCCACTTTCTGGCTGTGGCCACAGCGGTGGATACCATGATGCCCACCCTGTGCAGATGCCCCCCTGGCAGTGCCCCCCCCAGCAGAGGGCCCCCAGCTAGCAAAGGAGCACAGAATTGCATCCAACTGCAAATTTAATCAGTCATTAAGAAGGAATCCTCTACCTGGGCTGATGGCGTCTGCGCGGGTTTCCATCACTTTTTCACGGTCTGTGTAGTCCCGGTAGGTCTGGGTGCGAGTCTCGACACAGAGATGGCCGGCTTTCCGGATGGCCACGAAGCCTTTTCGGAGGGTGACGGCGATGGCGGCGCCTGGGTGAGAGGAAAGAGTGGGGAGGAGCCCCGGATCCCGGTCCTTAGTAAGCTATTCCTTCCATCCTTCCTAGAATCATTACATGATGAATTAGAAGGACTTCAGAGGTCATCTAGTCCAACCCCTGACTCCAGGGAGCTACACTTGGCAGGTGTTCGAACGGCCCCACTTGAAAGCCTCTAGGGAGGGTGGGGCCATGGCTTAATGGTTGCTGACCTCTGTTTTTCTCCCTGTTTTATCCTAGCCATAACAACCCTGAGACAAGAATTCAGCCAATTGAGAGTCACTAGCCAGGGAGGGACTCAATGTCCCAATGAAGGAGAATCTTTGTAGCTCAGGATTGAAATGAGGGGTCCTTGGTGTTCTCTGAGCTGGGTGGTTTCCTTGCAGACATTTCATGACCCAACTAGGGAACATCATCAGTGCTAGAAGGGAGGAGGAGGAGGAGGGGGGGAGGGGGAGGAGGAGGAGGACTGTGGGGTCCCTGGTGCTCTCTGAGCCTGGTGATTTTCTTGCAGACATTTTATGACCCAACTAGGGAACATCATCAGTGCTAGAAGGGAGTGGGGTTTGTGGAGAGGAGGAGGAGGAAGAGGAGGAGGAGGGGAGGAGGATGAGGAAGAGGAGGACTATGGGGTCCTTGGTGCTCTCTCAGCTTGGTTGTTTTCTTGCAGATATTTCTTTACCCAACTAGTTAACATCATCAGTGCAAGAAAGGAGCAGGAGGAGGAGGAGGAGGAGGAGGAGGAGGAGGAGGACTGTGGAGTCCCTGGTGCTCTCTGAGCCGGGTGGTTTCCTTGCAGACGTTTCATGACCCAACTAGGGAACATCTTCAGTGCTAGAAGGGAGGGGGGGTTGTGGAGTGGAAGAGGAGAAAGGGGAGAGGAGGAGGAAGAGGAGGAAGAGAGGAACGGGAGGGGGCAGAAGGAGGAGAAGTGTGGGGTCCTTGGTGCTCTCTGAACTGGGCGGTTTTCCTGCAGATGTTTCATGACCCAACTAGGGAACATCATCAGTGCTAGAAGGGAATGGAGGTTTGCAAAAGTAGTAGTAGTAGTAGTAGTACTACTACTACTACTACTACTACTACTAGTAGTAGTAGTAGTAGTAGTAGTAGTAGTAGGAGGAGGAGGAGGAGGAGGAGGAGGAGAGGAAGGAGAAGAAGGACTGTGGGGTCCTTAATGCTCTCTGAGTTGGGTGCTTTCCTTGCAGACATTTCATGGCCCAACTAGGTAACATCATCAGTACTAGGAGGGAGAGGAGCTTGCTATCCATTTGTCCTCCAGTGGCTTGCCCCCTCAAAGAGGGTCTCCCTCCCCCCCCAGGTTGAGGATGTGGCTGAGGGGCATGAAAGAGAAGCGAGAGAGACGTACCCAGGATAAATCCCATGGCATCAATCCCCACCACCAGGTTGATGGCATCGTCCCGAAACTTTTGCACCAAATCTTCAACGCAGTCCTGCAGGGCCTGTTGGGAGAGGAGAGGAGGGGGCAGTTGCGTGGGTGTGTGGGGGGGGCACAGCTATCCCAGACCCACAGAAAAGTCCTCCTGAGCAGGGTCTGCTGCTCTAAGGACCTCTCTCCTTATTTCTCAAGTAGTGGCTGAGCTGCTGCTTTCATTATTCCGGCCAGATTCCGACATTTAACGCATCACTCGGATAACTGCACAGGAAAATATAAACCGTGGAAGAGCCAGAAGACTCGCAAAGGTTGCGATGCTCGTGTGCGAGAGTTAAACCCATTATGGTGACAAGGATGCCATCCTAACACACACACACACACACACCTGCTGCAAGGATGGCATAACGCAGGGGTCCTCAACCGTGGCCACTTTAA